GCCCAGAGGCTGCTGACTCTGCACAAAAGCAGAGTGGTGGGGAGGGATGGGTTGGCTGAGTGAGCCATGGTTCACCAAGCTCCTCTTCTGCTTAGTTATTCATTTAATTATTGGTAATGACTGCTATCCACCCAACGTCTGCTCCTGCTGCCTGCCTGGCTGGTCATCATCATCCTGCTCCCAACCAAGCTCTCAGCAGCCTTGGATGGTTTTCAAGTGCTTAATACAGAGATATTAATTGAAGGGGGTCTTGTTTTGACTCTGGTGGGCCAGGAGTGATGCTCTGGGCAGGAGGTGATGGTTTTAGGAGAGTAGGAGACAGCTGAGCTCAGTTGGCACAGTGGAAATGATCCGTTTTTTTTGCTGCCAGAGACCAGTCCAAGCTGCTTGGACAATAAAAGAGAAGTGAGGCAGTAGCAGGAGTTTGGGTTTAGGAGTGTTTCTGAAGTGAGTCTGAAGATGATTTTGAACGGACACCTCTCAGGCAGGTGTTCCTGGTGCTCTAGTGAGCTTAAAGATACTTTCTTTTGCCATAATCATGGTTTATCTCCCATTAAAGGAGTTGCTACCACCAACTCTTTCTTTGTCCTCCAACCCCACTGCATTTTCTTTGGCAGTTTTGAGTCCATCCCCATGATTTGCAGGGGGTTATTGTGTCCCTCTCTTCAATCACTAGATGATCCCAACCTCCAAAGTCATGCTCCTCTTAGAACTGTGATTGAGAGAGCTGCCACCAGCTGAAGCATCACCCTCCTGTAGATGTCACAGCAGCTGGGGAGCCCCAGATACTGCTGAAAAGCACCAGTTGAGGGATAGAAGGTATCTTTTACCTTCTTTCATCTCCCAGCCCCATGGGCTGCTTGCCAGGATGCCTGTGGGGCTAGCCATGGCCAGGGTGGGAGCTCAGCAAAGGCCAGAGCCTGTGTCTTTAAAGATTAATAGTGTTGTTTGCTCATTAAGGAGATCATTTTGAAGTCAGTGCTAGCCAGAACATTTGAGTGCAAGCATCTGTTTGCTACTGGGAGAGGATATTTATTGTCTGATACTTCAATGGATGTAAATAAACAGCCAGACCTAGATAATGTTCAGACAAACAAACAAACAGCTGCCAGAATAGGTCCCCTGGTAGATGACCTTCGGGAAGCATCATGCTGATGTTTTAATAGCAGCCAACTTTGCAGAGCAGAGCCCAGTGAGTGGAGCCTTGTGGGAAGAAGGATTAATGTGCAGCCTAAGAGCCTTGGATCCAGGGAGTTCACACTTGTGTTGGGTTAAAGGAGGGCAAAGGGTGCTGAGCCTTGTGTGCCTGTCCAGGCTGTGCAGGCAGCAGGAGAAGGTAGATGGTCATGTGGTGGAGGTGATGAGCTTGTTTGTGGATGAGAGTGCACACTAGTAGTGGTACAAAGGGTCTGGTAGTGAGGGCTGTAGTGGACTGAGCATTTTGAGACTCATGTATAGTCCTGGAGCCTCTCCATTGCTTCTGCCTCCCCTCCCTCTTGCCTTGTGGAGGTGTTCATGGTCCACAGGCAGTTTTCAATGAGAAGTCCTAACTGGACAGTCAGTGAGGCTCTTATCCCACAGCCTAATAGGAGCATCATGAATGTAGGAATACCTATATTTCTGTCAAACTCTATCAGAACATCTTGACTATAAGAATACCTGTATGCCAGTCAAACTCTCTCCATCCCAGGCCTTGTGGCTGGTGCTCACAAAAGAGGAGGAGCAGACAAACTGGCTGGTGCATGCTTCAAATTCCCTGCAATTGGCAACCTGGAGAGCTTTCCAAGCAGAGATTGTGTCTATGTCCCTGACTTTGGTGGTCATCACCTGCAGGCTCTGATGAGAACCTTCTCCTTTCCCTTTCACAGCTTCTTCTTTGAGGTTTTTTTCTTTTGCTAACCCAGCTGCTCTGGTTTTAGTGGGAGCCTTGAAGCCAGCAATAAATCTCTCCCGAAGAGAAACTGCTGTTGTGTTGTGTCTGATGCTCAGGGCTGTGAAGAATGTACAGGGAAGGTGGAGACCTCTGGGCCCTGTGCCTGGGGTCCAACATAAGAGAGAGTTGAAGACAGGGGAAGGGATGGCTTGAGTTAGGAGCCAGACTCGTGGCTGCAGCCTGGGATAATCACCTCGGGGCTTGCATGGTCTGTGCAGTGTGGGGGATGTTTGCCAGATTTTCTGGCCTTCTTCTGAATTTTCTTTCCCTTAGCTGCTAGTTTTGTCCAGGGAGAGAGGTTTCTGCAGTTTGAGCCCCTGGGCTGTGTGTGCACGAGCACATGTGTGTGTGTTTGCACATGGACAGTGGGATGAGCTCTGTTCCTCCCTCCCCCTCTGCCAAATAATGACTTTTCAGACAATTAGGCCAGCAATAGCTGTTAAATCACTTCCTAGGGTCTCTGCCTGCCTGGTGTGAAGCCTCTGCAATCTTTTACCTGCACCAAAGGCACAGGGGAGATCCCTGGGGGCTGTGCCTCCTGTCTCCATGGTTTGTTAACTCCAGCCTGCCTCTTCCATCTCCCAGCTCTTCCTCCTCTAATGGGGCCTGGCAAAGGCTGAGGACAGTGACTGAGCCCTGGGGTGATAATTGGCTGCTTACATATCTAGCAGCCTGCAGATCTGACCCTGATGATGCTGAAAAAATCAAGGTCAAAGCAGCGAAGATGTGAGGTTTGTTTAGAACAGGGATCAGCGGAGGGTGAGGATGCTCTGCAACCTCTTTGATGGGGATCAGCAGCCACCAGGGACTGGGGGAGAGGCAGAGCAGAGGCAGCAAACAGAGCTCACCAGCCACTCCCTGAGAAGAGAACGTGGAGCAGGGAAATCTCAGTGGGAAATAGGGAAAACTCCTATTTTATTAGAGTTGTGTGGGGCAGAGCCCCAACAGGGAGACTCCTGTGCCCTCAGCTTGCAGCCTTTTCTATCTCCTGCCTTTCTCCTGACCGTCCTAAGGGGAATGGCTCATCCCAAGCCTGTTGGCATCTTTGCCCTGTACCTCATGGGTGAATCACATCAGTGTCCACTTTCAGGAAGAGGCACTTGGAGGAGCTGAATTCCCCCATGAGGCACCACAGACACGAGGGAGCCCTTTCCTCCCAGGCAGGCAGAGCAGCAGGAGGCAGAGATGCTCAGTGCTGGGCTTCAGGCCCTGACCTCCTTGTTTGTTGATGTTGGGACGTGTGTTGCTGTCATCACCAGAGCTATCAAGATGACAAACTAACTGGAAATCCTCTGGTGTCACTTGCCCAGCCCAACAGCCAATGCCTACATGTGCATGTAGGATCTGAGCACCTTCCACACTCCTTTCTGACACAGGGAGCATCTCTAACTCCTCTCTGCTCCATTTCCCCTGTCCTTCCTGGAAAAATCATATTTGTTTGTTGTCCCACAGCAGGTGGAGAGATCAAGATAAGATAAGAATCTGTATATCATTGCTGCCCTTTGCTCATACTTTCCAGTCTCTTTATCATTCCTTCTCTTCCTTTCTCTTTGCCTTCCTAACACAGAAGATGATTCAGGCTCAGTTTCTTGGCTGAAAGGTTGATCCAGAAGGAACAAGCTCATGGACTGTGCCAGGGAACAGTGGGAATGGGTCTTGGTACCATAAGCTCTCCACAGCTTGTTATTTCCTTTGGATGGGAAGAATACATTTGGCTCAGCTATAAACTGCACAAGTGTAAACCAGGGACTGGGAATCTCTGGTTAGGAAGGTGTGGTCTAGTAACCATGGTAGGATTTGGTTTGAGGTCTCTTCCAACCTGGTTGATTCTGTGATTCTGTGATCATAGTGTGGAGCACAATGCAGATCTGCTACAACTTTGTTTCTTCTAGGGAAGAGTTTTTCTTCTAGGGAAGAGTTTGCTGTTTGTGTCGCTACAGGGTGGAAGAATTTTGGACAGTGAAAGGCAACACATGGAGAACATAGGAAGGGAGATAAGGAATATCTGGAACATGTGGCCATAGGGTTTGCTGCAGTACAGAGCCTCACAAGATCCAGGAGGACTCCTGTGAATAGCTATATTATCCTTAATTGTTATATCTTGAAAGGGATTGCAAACTTTCTTGAGCTGCTGTTGAGCCCAAACTCTAGTCATTCTTTGTAGACAGGTGAAGAGAACTCCTCTGTTTTCTGCCTTTTCTTCTGTATCTCTGGATCACTGTCAGGGATAGACTGGCAGTGTGTGTCTGCTTCCTTCTCATCATCCCAGTTATTGATGTTCCTAAGTGACACCCTGTTATGAGCTGTGTCTGGAATCATAAGGTGCCCCATTTGTGCAGGGCTGATTTCAATACCTGATACATGCCATCAGCAAGAGAAATAGTCTGGGTTGCATTGTGCACTCTGCAATAATATATTGCCCTGGGCAACATTAGCAGTGAAAGCAATAATATTATCTGAGTAGCATTTGAGTGAGTCAGTCCTGCACGCTCTTGTGTGGTTTTTATCTTCTTCTCATCACCACCACCAATTCTTCCCTCATGCCATCGTTTTCAGGGCAGTAGATTTGTCCAGGCAATGACAGTAGCACAGGGATAGTGCTAGCTGAAACAAGCTGGCTCTGGGTTGTTCTTCTGCAGTGCTCTGGTGGTGTTGGGACCAGCAAAAGTGGTTCAATCTGCTTTATCCTTTCAGGAAGGAGGCAGGGAAAAGTTCACTTTGTGATGACAGTGGTGGTTGTCCCAAAGATTTGGACCACAAGACTTTTCTCCAGTGATTATTACATATGTATATGAATATTACTGTGAGGGTGATGAGACACTGGCACAGGTTGTCCAGAGCAGCTGTGGTTGCTCCATCCCTGGGAGTGTTCCAGGCCAGGCTGGATGGGGTTGGAGCAGCCTGGGCTGGTGGGAGGTGTCCCTGCCCAGGGCAGGGGATGGAACTGGATGATCTTTAAGGTTCCTTCCACCCCAAACCATTCCATGATGCTATGATTATTCTGCATTCTCAGTGGAAGGAGGAAGAATACTCATGTTGTCTCCCTGCTTGTGTTTCTGCTCCTCAGATCCGTGTGGATGGCACCACCAAGAACACACTGGAGTATGAGATTGTGCAGGTGGTGGATACTGGCCCCATATTACGGGATATGGCCTTCTCAGTGGATCATGAGCACCTCTACATCATGTCTGAGAAGCAGGTAAGAACCTCCATCAGTCCATGGTGCTTTGAATGCTTTTAGCTTGATCATGCTCTGGACATCAAGATTGCACATGACGTTCAGATGGTGCCCACAAAGATGTGCTCTGGTGTTGATCTCATCATTTTCATGCTCAGAAACTATTGTATTTGTACATTGATGCAATTTTTGAGGGGCCAGGGCAGAGAACTAAGGGGACAGGACCCAACCCCAGCATTGCTTTGCACAGTACATGTCCTACTGGCTACAAGACAAGGAGTTGCTGCTGCATCTGTGTGTACCACATTGCTCTCCACCCCCACTCAAACTGTGGCTGCATCTGCCACAGACATGGAGAAGTGTAATGCTGAATCATTTGGCTCCAACTGGAGGTTTTGGAGAGGCTGGAGCCTCTTTGAGACACAGTGATCAAGAGTGTAGGATGGTGCCTGCCAAGTTGAATGGCATGTCTCTGTTGTGGTATAGTCTTGTTATTGATAATGCTAACAGCCATATTCCCAGGAAGGACCAGATTCCAGGGAAGGACCATTCTGGGTGTTCAGCATGGGAGCCTGGCTGAGCTCAGCAGGGTGTTGGCCTTGGGAAGTTGGTTGCTTGGGGTGGGAGGAGGAGGAACTAGTTTTGCATGAAGAAACCCATTGTGTGTAATTAGTCTGGATGTGTAGGGTTAACTTAGTTGTCATAACTGGTTGATTCATGTGTGCTCATGAGGAGCTTGAGATGCACAGGGTAAAGGACCAAAGGGAGCAATTTGGTTTTCCTCCAGAAACTTCCAAGAACATATTCTTGCTGACATGTTGACTACCTGATCTTCCCTGGTCATTACAACATGAGCAGATTCACTTTGTGGTTGCTATTCTAAAGCACAAGTTTAGGCAGGTGTTTTTAGGACCCCAAGGTGTTGATGGAGCCTTGCAGAGGACTCAGGAGCCCTGAGGCCCCTGTGATTTATTCAATCATCTCCTCCCAGCCATCCCTGAAGCCTAAGGGTATCTCTGTGAGAGAGGTTAGTGACAAGGGCAGGGACTGTTGTTTTAAAATCTGCTCTGGTTTTGTGAAACTCTCAACACTGCCCATTTCTGAATTTATCTGTGACATCTCAAGTGCTGTGAATGACAGTGTTGCCTTGGGGAGCAGATATCCCATCCACTCTACAAGCCATGTCCTACAGATCCTTGCATAAATGGATGAAGGTCTGACTTATCAGAGGTTTGCACTGTCCACAGTGGTATTGTGAGGTCTGTGGGATGGGGGACAGGAGGGTGATGGCTTGACATGACCTTTTCAAAGGCAGACAGGCACCAGGGCTGGGCCATCCCTGGGGGAGGAGGTGGTTTCTCCTCCCTCTGGCTGCTGGGCTCAGCCCTGTCTGTGCCTTAGAGATAAGGGTGGCTCTGTTGGTTGCTCCAAGGTCCATTCCAACCCCTTAACATACTATGAAACTATGATACTATGATGCTCCTTTTCCTGTTGTGGCTTTGGACTAGCATTTGCAAGGTCACCTCCAGCACCCCCTAGATAACTGTTTCAGCATGTTGGACTCCTGGGTCTCTCCCAGTGCTAGGTGTGTTTTGCAAAGCAGATGCAGCACCTGGAAGCAACTCCCAGAAGACATTGGAATCTCTGCTCTTCCCTTTGATATAGAGGGATCAAAGGGAAGAGCTAGAGAAAATGGACTTAAAGGCTCAAAAACCAGAAGGCAAATAGCAAGTGGCCCCAACTTCATGTTATTTAAATCCCAAGGCTTTGAGCTTCCTTCTACTCTTGGTTTACAAATGGCCAGGGAAGACTGTTCTGCAGACAGTTTGTGAGTAACTTTATGTTATTAATGAGTAACCTCACCCATCCCTGGGAGTGCTCCAGGCCAGGTTGGATGGGGCTCTGAGCAACCTGGGCTAGTAGAAGGTGCCCCTGCCCATGGCAGGGGGTGGGATGAGATGACCTTTAAGTTCTCTTCCAACTCAAACCATTCAATGATTCTACGTTTGGCTCAGGGCAGGAGGTTTCTGTCCCTCTGCTCACGTAGGTTTGTTCCATGTAGGTGACTCAGTTCATGCCCCAGCAGAAAGTTGTGCTTCTTCCCCGAAAATTAGCAGCAAGTCATCCAGAATCTGAGACTAAATCCCATCTGTGCAGTGCTATCATTCCCTGAAAGCACTGCAGGATGTCAGAGGTGAGACTGGTCAGGTCGTGTGGAGCAGAAGCAGATGAGTATTTTCGAGGCTCTTTCAAACTTTGCCAGTGAAATATCAAATAAATATGTACTTCAACCAAAGCATGGCAGAAAGCACATTTGGTAAGGATTAAATAACAGTACTGCAAATCATGTTGACAGGGGCTTTTTGGCCTTTCTGGGTCTGTTTCTCATTAAAATGGGGAAGGTTTATACCTATTTGTCTCCTGAGATTTATTCTTCTTCCCTTTGCCACTGAGTCACTATCAGCAACAGAATTACTGAGTGCAAATTAGCTGCCAAAGATGAAGTGGTGACTGGGCCAGTTTACTTCTGATTTCATGACCACTGATTCAAACCTTGTCTGCTGTTTATGTTATTGTATCCATTAGTTAAAGCCATCTTTAATAACTTCACTTAATTACAGCTTAATTTCTTCAAACGTGGTCTTTGCACAAGGTATCAAGGAGCATTAACTCCTAGGCTTGGAAAGGCTGTGTCCAGGGGGTTGTCAGTTTGAGGCTTGTCCCCAGAAACACTGGCTCAAGATCACAAGTTTTAAAAATAACTCAAGAGGGTTTTTGTTGGTTTTCTTTTTTTCCTTTTCATTTGCATCTGTTTGTTTGGGAGCCATCGGGTTCCTGCAGAACATGGTTTTCATCACTGGGGCAGAAGCAGAAAAGACAGGAATGATCTTGTTTGAAAATGGAAAGCTGAGATTGTCTAATAGGTGTGACTTTTTGACCTGGGGATTTAAAGGCAGCAGAAACACCACCCACAAACTGTAAATTTTGATGCTGTTGTTGCTGATTTCTGTCATTCAACTTCTGTCTTGTAAGCTCTTGGAGCAGTGACTTTCAGCCTGTAGCAGGAGTGTGTAGTGTGAAGGATCACC